GGGGGACACGCGCACGGGCTCGTGGGCGTGTTTATGTTCCCTGCTACTGAAGCGGATAGTGCTCGCTCCGTGAGAATGGGCTCTGTGTGAGACCCGGGGCATAGGGTGCTTGTGTGTATACGTGAGCACATGCTTGTGGGCACATTTTTTACACTTGAGGCTTTTATGCTCTTATGTGAACTCTCTGGGTAGCCGTGAAAACGGCTTTTAGTCGCTCGCAAGCGGGCAGGGAAACCGGCTTGTTTGTGGCGGTGAACTCTACTGTAGTCGGCGATGAGACGGGGACTAACAGTGGGCGAAGCTTTGACGGCGGTCCGGCCGCAGCGGGAGAGAGCCGCCTTTTTCTCAGCTGTGCTAGGCAGACTTCTGTTGATCGGGCTTCAGCGCGATCTTGGGTCGAGGCCCCCGGGGAGGAGGCTGTCTGCGGCGGCTGTCAGAGCGAGAGCGAGGGCTGTACCTCGGAGAAGCGGTCAACGATGCCCGTGACGGCAGATCCGAAGAGACCGGTCGGAGAGATAGGCGCGTTGAGGAACACGGCGCGTTCTGAATCTCCCCTTTTGGTAAGCGTGAGTCACAAGTGTCTCTCAGCGACACAGAGGGCGGCCATGCATTTTCCCAGGGCTTGTGCGGCGGCTTTAGTGGCGCGCAGGGAAAGATCCGTAGCACTTCTCAGATCCGAGAGGATGGGTGGGTTCCTACCGCTGTTCGCCATCTCGCACAAGATGTCGCTCTGGAGCACTTGGAGGACAGACATGGAATGCAGCGCTGAAGTGGCCTGTCCGGCGGCAGCATAGGCACGGGCATGAAAGTTAGAGGTCGCTCTGCACGCTTTAGAAGGAAGCGTAGGGGAAGAACGCCATCTAGCAGAGGGCGGGCAAAGATGAGCGGCGACCAGGTCCTCGACGGGCGGCATGGCAGTATAACCCTTCTCGGCGGCTCCGAGAGCCGGAGCGGTTACGAGCCGAAAGAGGGGCATTCCAGGATTTCGTGAGCTCGTTGTGTAGCTCAGGCAGGAATGGTGCAGCCCGGCTGCAGGCGGGGGCCGGGCGCCGGTGCAGGAACTTCCCATCCATGCGGTTCGGTGGTTGCTCGGGGGGAGGAGACCACTCGAGACCCAGGCGGTTGACGGCCTGTGAAAGGAGGCGCGTTAGTTCCTCCTCGATGCCGGCGCGGGTCCCCGCAGACTCTCTCGTCGATGAGCCGATCGACGACCAATCCTCGCTGTCAGAAGCGTGCAGCGAACAGGAGTCCTTCTCATCCGCGGTGTCGTCGGAGGCGACAGAGCGGCCACTCGGCGGCAACAGTATGTCTGGCTGGGGCGGAGAGGGAGAGCGGTCGGTGGGCGGCGGCAGCGGCCCGCATGGATCCGCAGGGGGCTCCGGCGGCCTCTGGGAGCGGCGTTTCTTTTTCCGCGGCGAAGTGAGAGGCGGCGCGGGAGCGGTTTTGACCGCCTGCAGTCGTGCCCGCAGGGAGGACAGAGGCAGGTCCTCGCAGTGGTCGCATCCTCCGATGGCGAGGGCGAGCTCTGCGTGATCCACTCCGAGACAGAGAACGCAGATGGGGTGGCGGTCTCCTTCCTCGAGTGAAGAGCGGCATGAGCCGCAGGAAATTCGAGGCATCTTTAAAAAGACGCTCGGCTCTTTTAATGAAATGGAATAAAAGGATACGCGTCGGATGGCGCTAGCTTGCTGGGCGGCTGAAGGTGGCAGACGGCCGGCTTCCTCAGACTCCGGAGCTCGCTAGAAGGTGCCTTCTCAACGACGGCGGCGGCTTCTTCCCAGGACAGCGGATGCGTGTAGCTCGCTGAATGAAAAAGAATCGACGAACTAGCCTGGGAGAGCTACCTTTATACACTGAGCCACGCCCCTTTTGGCGGGCTGTGACGCAGTGAGCGAGCGCCGTCCGCTCATTGGCCGCGGACTCAGCGCCGCTCTCCCATAGGTTCGTGCATTCTCTCTGAGCGAACCAATGAGCCGCTAGCTAGCCCGCTCATGGTCTGCCTCAGAAGAGACTGCGTTGACAATGATTACAAAATTATGGAATAATTTTTTGGCTTCAACTTCTCAGCAAAGATGAATCTTTCCCGTAGCGTAAGCTAGCTTACGCAATACGAGAGAACCTCTCGTAAGAGAACAATGTATCTCAAATAAATAGCATACTGAATCAAGATACTATAAGCTGGCTAACGTTAGTCTAACGTTAGTCTAATGTCTAATGTGATTATTGACACAAATGTCACGCAATAATGATACATTATAAATGAACACTTAGGTTATGTATTAGGCTACAGCAAAATTAATACTTAATAAAAAAAAATAGATGCCTACTTAAATAAAAAAAGTTAACAGTCTTAAAACTGTCTCAAAACATATAAAAGAAATTATTTGCTAAAATTATGACAAAACTGAGAAACATAAGAGCAAGGCTTCAACAAGCCTATTGTTGAAAACTAAAAAAATATTTGGCCTACTATTTCTCAACTGTCTCAATACAGTGTAACTGTCCTCAAAAGCTTTATTATTATTATTATCGTAACAGACTTTGTTAGATATTACATGACATAATCCAACAAAGTCTGTTACTATAATACCGGTAATGATGTCCTGGCGCTCGTTGTATGCGTGTATGCAATGTATTTTTCCCCTCTGGGCTTGCCATAGATGGGTCGTGCGCAGACTGCGCACTTGGTAGGCTACTGGAGTTTCGCGGGTCTGATGTGTGGTATAATAAAGTGGAGAAGAGTTCAAACTGCTATGTTTATTATTTATTCAAACTGCTACCCTTACACCTTAAAGGTTAAGTTCCCCTGCGGGCTGTTTTCTCCAATACCGATACCGTGACTAGGCACAAATTGTCTATGCACGCGCGAGGTGTCTAGAGGATTATGCGCATGACTTAAACGCTGGCAGACACAGCAGCAGTTGTAACTTGTAGGCAGGTATATTGATCATTAAATCAGAGTTTTGTTGTCTTGAATGATTCATTCAGTCATATTCATTCATTCATTCATTTATGTCACTTGTTTAAGTAATCTAAAAAAAATAAAAATAAAAAATAACCCCGATTAGGGGGCCCCCTGGTGGCCAGGGGGCCCTAAGCGGCTGCTTAGTTCGCTTATGCCTCGGGCCGGCTCTGCTGCTACTGCCGGCTCTGCTGCTACTGCACAACTCCCTTCTGGTTTACAGTGGAGAAGAGAAGGTTTTCGTAATTTGGGGGGTTTTCTGGGTGGGGAGACAGTTGTACAGAAAAACTGTTGAAAAAAGTTTTAGTTGAAAAAGTCAAAGGACGCCTTGACAAGTGGAAGTATTTGGCTCCAAAATTTGGATTAAAGTTTGGAGTCTTTTTATTGTTCAACATTCAGAAAACTCATCTTCGCTTTTTTGGTTGCTGGAAGAACCTTTAATCTATGGTGCTCGGTTGGACTTAACGGACAATTTTTTTTTTTTCCTGGACTCAATAGGGTGCTTATGGGACATGATGTTATCACTTTGAGTCAGCTACTGAATATTGTAGGGGCGGACCTCAAAGATGAAGTAGCTCTTGCTCAACGTTTGGGAATCAGGTCTATTCGTCTGGTTACCCAGTTGCTCATGAAATGGAATGCTGCCCTTGAAACAACTGAACTGGAATTGCTAACAGAATATTGTAAAGGTTCTTGTGTTGCAAATCCTAAAGACTCTTTTCCTTGTTTATCTTTGTCTATAAATGTTGAAGGGATTAATTCCCCTTTTTTTAAAAATTCTGCATCTCTGTGTAAAGACGTTTTTTTAAGTGCTGCTAAATCATTGTACAGGTCTTGTGTTTTGGTGTTTAGCAAGTGTAAGAGTTGATACTCCCTTGCGTGATGTTTTTAAACTGGATGAAGGTGTAAAGCCTGAGTGGAGATCTTTGTATAAACCACCGTTGACCAAGAGAACAGGTGATTTCATTCATGGCGCTGTTGCGGTTAACGCTTTTGTTTCAGTTTTAAACTCTGAGGTTGACTCTGGATGTCCTTTTTGCTCTACTACAGAAACTATCTTTCATGCGTTCATGAATCGTTGTAGACTGCAACCTTTGTTTGAAGTTGTAAGCAATGTTTTTATGAGGTGCAATGAGACCTTTTCTCTGGAGACGTTCATTTTCGGGTACAAGTATGTGAGGGAAAAAAGTGTTGTCTGTCAGCTTCTGAATTTTGTTCTAGGCCAAGCAAAACTGGCCATTTATTTAAGTAGGAAAAATAAAATAGAACAGAATCTAAATCAGAATGTGGTTGCCATGTTTTTTAACTTGGTGAAGTCAAGAGTTATGGTAGATTTTTTATATTATAAGTCTATTGATGATTTTGTTACATTTGAATGTATTTGGTGCTACAAGGAGGCTCTGTGCTCTGTTTTTGAGGGGGAACTGATTTTTTTGCTGTGAGTTTGGTATATACTATTTTGGTGTAGGGAGTTTTATGGTAAATACTAGGTAATGTCTTGTATACTGTATTGTAATAAAAGTTTTGTTAAAAATCAAATCTCTCTCTCTCTCTCTCTCTCTCTCTCTCTCTCTCTCTCTCTCTCTCTCTCTCTCTCACACACATACAGCCATGCTTCTCACTCGCGTATGAGTATTTAGTATGTGTTTTGTGGCCTTATTTCAGAAACTTTAATTTTTTTTTTTTTTTTCAATAACAATATTCTCTCAAAAATACAAACATGTACATACATGTTGCTCACATATTATGATAGCCCTGTTTGTGCTAAATAGAGTGTAATTTCACCTGTGACATTAATATGTTTATAATTAACTGAAAAAGCACAAATGTCTGGGCAAGTCAAAACATCTCAAGGACTCCAAAAACACCTTAGACTCCAGAAGGTTAAGAGGTAGCAGCGTTCAGTGCGGAATAACACAAAGGTCAACAATTGACCTTTCTCAACTCAAAAGGGTCAAGAGCATCAAAAATATTTACCAATTATAAAAGGAACCAATATTTACCAATTAAGAGGATGAGGATAAAAAAAATTACTTACGCTATTAGTAGGTCATCTGGTACTATACGAAAGAGGGGGAAAAAAAGAGATATATTGGTTACAGTTCTCTTATGAGAGGTTCTCTCGTATTGCGTAAGCTAGCTTACGCTACGGGAAAGATTCATCTTTGCTGAGAAGTTGAAGCCAAAAAATTATTCCATAATTTGTAATCATTGTCAACGCAGTTCCTCTGAGGCAGACCATGAGCGGGCTAACTAGCAGCTCTAACTAGCAGATTGGTTCGTTCAGAGGGAAATGCACGAGCCTATGGGAGAGCGGCGCTGAACCCGCGTCCAATGAGCGGCAGGCGCTCGCTCATTACGTCAGAGCCCGCCGAAAGGGGCGTGGCTATAGTGTATAAAAAGACTCTCCCTAGGCTGTACGTTGATTCTTTCAATCTTCAGCGAGCTACACGCATCCGCTGTCCTGAAAAGAAGCCGTGCTGCGCTCGGTGGTTGAAGCCGCCGAGAAAGGATATACAGCTATGCCGCCCGTCAAGGACCTGGTCGCTGCTCACCTTTGCCCGCCCTCTGCTAGATGGCGTTCTACCCCTACGCTTCCTTCGAAAGCATGCAGAGCGACCTCCACTTTTTCATGCTCGCGCTTACGCCGCCGCCGGACCGGCTCAGCGCTGCACTCCATGTCTATCCTCCAAGTGCTACAGAGCGACATCTTGTGCGAGATGGCGAAGAGCGGTAGGAACCCGCCCATCCTCACTGATTTAAGGGAGCGCGACGGACCTCTCCCTTCACGCCACCAAAGCCGCCGCACAAGCCCTGAGGAGATCTATGGCCGCCCTCTGTGTTGCTGAGAGACACTTATGGCTCACGCTCGCCGACATGGGAGACTCAGAACGCGCCGTTTTCCTCAACGCGCCTCTTCGGATCTGCCGTCACGGGCATCGTTGACCGCTTCTCCGAGGTACAGAAAGCCACCCAGGCCATGAACTTGTTCCTGCCCCGCCACGCGAGCACCGCCACCTCCTGCCAGAACCCCGCAACAGCGCCCGCCTCAGCAGGCTCATCAACCCCAGCGTAGACAGGGCGGCCGCCCTCGCTCTCGCTCTGACAGCCGCCGCAGACAGCCGCCTCCCCGAGGGCCTCGACCCAAGATCACGCTGAAGCCTGATCAGCAAAAGTCTGCCTAGCACAGCTGAGAAAAAGGCGGCCTTCTCCCGGTGCGACCGGACCGCCGTCAAAGCTTCGTCCTCTGCTAGTCCGCCTGCAGTAGTGCTCACCGCCAGAAACAAGCCGGTCTCTTTGCCCGCTTGCGAGCGACAAAAAGCCGTTTTTACGGCTACCCAGAGAGTTCACAAAAAGAGCATAAAAGCCTCAGGTGTAAAAAATGTGCCCACAAGCATGTGTTCACTCATACAAGCACCATATGCCCCGTGTCCCCAACAGAGCCCATTCTCACAGAGCGGACACAGCCCGCTCTAGTAGCAGAAAACATAAACACGCCCACGAGCCCATGCGCGTGTCCACTCTCTGCTCGCTCTGTCTCATGGCCCATAAACTCCTCTCTGAGTGTAAGTCCCATTGCCACACACACTATAAGCGTGCCCACACAATAGCTGTGTCCCAATGTGAAGGCTGCGTACTTCGAAGGCTGTAGACTTCGAAGGATGCAGCCTATTTGGCCTTCGAAGGACGCTTCATGTAGCCTTCGTGGGATTTCCTAATTGCGCAACCAGGTGTTCCCTATTACTGCTCCTGGCGCCAAGCAACGGAGCGAGAGTACAGCTGCCACCCTGATCATTCATTTAATGAAACTGAGTAAACAGCTATGGAGACAGGCTATTGTCATTTTGTTGTTTTATATTTTACTGGAAATTTTATGTTTTATATTTTCCTGTCTTTAAATGAGGGGCAATATATATAAAATCACATAATTTCAATTCACATAACCACTAAAAAAATATTTCGAGTCATGTATTTTCGGCTCAAGAGTTGGCCAGAGCTGGTTTAATGCTAGAGGCTGTGTCCTGAATAGCCAGATTACACTGTAAACTGTTCAAATATTGGGTGTTAATCTAAGTAAATACTGTAATGAAATAGCCTAAAAAATAATAATGATAAAACATGGGCACATATATAGCCTATATTCAAATGTTAATCGTACCTTGATGCGATTTTGTAGGGTTTTCTTTTTATTGTCTAAATGGACCATGGTGAATATATTTATACAGGCTGTCAATCCTATTTGAATATTTTAAACCAGTTGGATATAAAAAGTCCAGTGCAAACGTCGTTACTCCCGCTCGTCGTCGTCAGCTGTCAGTCACAGTTGCTAGGCGAAAAGAACAATCCTCCGCAGGCTAGACCGGTCCGAGCGCTTCAGGTGCGCACTTTGATATGGGACGAAGTTGAAGTTAGCAACAATTTGTTAATATTGTGACAATGGACCAACAATTTGTTACTTTAATTTTTAAAATAACCAGTGGGAGTCTGGGAGAATGTAAGGAACTTCATACTGCAGTAGCCTACTTTTTTCCCTCACAGGACAACAACACTACACATTTTACATTAAACAACACAAAACAAAAGTATATTATAGTTTAAATGTATCTACCTTGCAAACACTCAGAGACCCTTACAAAAATAAGCAAATATCCAGAGCCATGAATTCTCTTTTACGTACACATTTAAAGTTGCATAAAATAATGAAATAATGAATAATAAAGAAATACAATGTACAAGAAATACAATACAAGGCTATAAAAGCCGTTTTCGCATTTCCACTTGACAAAACCATGCAATACTGACGAATGAGTTAAGATGAATAAGAAAAGAAAAAAAACTAAAAAAAAAAAAAAAAAAAAACTTTTGGCTGTTAACACTGGTTTCTCCGGCTATTTGAGTAAATAAAAAGTAAAACATAATACTTTTACATTTAAATGTGAATTTGCCGTCCACCACTGAACTCTCGGCCACCCTTTTTTTAAATAAAAATGCTGTCATCACCCGCGCAATGATTTATGGGGTAGGATCGGGTAGGATAGTCTGCGAAGTGTCCATTTATGTATCCTTCCTTTCACGGAGAAACGAAGGGTGCATTTGGCGTCGCTTTTGAATCAGGTAAGCCTTCGTCGCGCTGCAATGACGCAACCGGCCTTCGAATACGGCCTTTGGAGGATGCATAACTGAATTGGGACAGCCTTCATCCCACCGCGATGACGCAATCGGCCTTTAAATGCGGCCTTCGCTGATGCAGCCTTTGAATTGGGACGTCCTTCGTCGCGCGGCTGTGACGCAAGCGTCCTTCAAATACGGACTTCGGAGGATGCAGCCTTCACATTGGGACACAGCTACAGTGTCCAGCCCGCTATGTGCAGCAATCAGGGCAACATTGCTATCCAGCCGCTAGCCGCATGCTTCAAAGCGTGGGAGGCCATCCCCGGCATTTCCCTGTGGGTTCTTAGCATTATAAAGAACGGCTACCTATTACAGTTTCGTCGCCGCCCGCCCCGTTCCCGCGTTCGGCTCGAATCCGCTGTCAGCCCAGCGGCTCTGAGCACGCTCCGCTCAGAAATAGCGAAGCTGCTGCAGAAAGGCGCAATAGAGAGAGTTCCGCCATCTATGACCGAGTCCGGGTTTTACGGCCGTTATTTTCTTGTGCCCAAGAAAGACGGCGGCCTCAGGCCGATCTTAGATCTCAGGCTTTTGAACAAAACGCTCATGAGGAGACCGTTCAAAATGCTTACAGTCAAGAAACTCCTCGCGCACATGTGCCAGGGGGACTGGTTCATCTCTCTAGACCTGAAAGACGATTATTTTCAGATCCAGATAAATCCTCGTCACAGGCCATTCTTACGTTTCGCCTTCGAGGGTCAAGTTTATCAATACGCCGTTCTCCCGTTCGGCCTATCCTTAGCACCCCGTACGTTCACGAAGTGCATGGATACAGCGCTCGCCCCCCTGCGGAGTCAGGGGCTGCGCATACTAAACTATCTGGACGACTGTCTGATTTTTGCACAATCCCAGACGGAGCTTCTGTCGCACCGCGCAGTTCTCCTCAACCATCTGAAAGCGCTGGGACTCTCTGTCAACTGGAAAAAGAGCTCTCTCCAGCCCAGTCAAACTATTTCCTTCCTAGGAATAGATTTGAACTCTATGACAATGAAGGCTCGCTTATCCACACAGCGCGAGCGCCGTGTTCAGCGTCTAGCCGCCTCTTTTTGGATGGGTACCCACACACCCCTGAAATCTTTTCAGAGGATGCTGGGTTATAATATGGCCTCAGCCTCCGCTGTGCTACAGCTGGGTCTCCTGCACATGCACCACCTTCAAATTTGGTTAAAGAGCCACGTATCCCACCGCGAGTGGACTACGGGCCGCCAGCTTATCAAGGTTACACAGACATGTATCACTGCACTGCAACCATGGACAGTAACCGACTGGTTTCAGAGGGGCGTTACCATGGGAACCTTTTCTCGCCGAAAAGTCATCTTGACAGATGCATCCAACACGGGCTGGGGTGTGGTCTGCGAGGGCTCACCGGCCGCCGGCCAGTGGTCGAGTCAGGAGAGTCCCTTACACATAAACTATCTGGAAATGCTCACGGTCGAGAACGCGCTTCTGCGTTTCCTCCCGCGCATTCAGGGTCACCACGTCCTGATCCTCTCGGACAACATGGCCGTGGTTTCCTACATCAACCAAGAATCTCTTCCATCTGACACGCCGCATCCTAGTGTGGTCCCAGAGTCACCTGCTCTCGCTCAGAGCGACCCACGTACCGGGCCACGTACCACGCATCCGACCCACGTGCCACGCATCTGAACGATGGCCCAGACATACTGTCCAGGAACCTTGTCTCCCCCGGAGATTGGTCCCTGCACACTCAAACAGTCCAAACACTGTGGCGCCTATTCGGCAGAGCAGAGATAGACCTCTTCGCGTCAGAAGAGAACGCTCACTGCCCGATATTCTTTTCGAAGAGCCAGGACGCGTTAGCCCAAGACTGGCCCCGCCGCCCGCTCTATGCCTTTCCCCCGATCCCTCTGCTACCGCAGGTCATTCAGAGAATCAGGGACACACGCCACCCGGTGCTCCTCATAGCCCCGCGCTGGGAGAATCAGATTTGGTTCACGGAACTCACGGAGCTGTCGCAGACAGCCCCGTGGCCCATTCCAATCAGAGCAGATCTCCTCACTCAAGCTCGCGGCACGATCTGGCATCCCCATCCACAGCGCTGGGCGCTCCATGCATGGGTGACCAACGACTACGTGTGAATTTGCCAGAAGGAGTTCTGAACACGATCAAACACACCAGAGCGGCATCTACTAGAAAGCTCTATGTTGCAAAATGGTCTGTGTTCTCTAAATGGTGCATCGACAAAAACATGGACTTGCGAGGTTTTGTCTTTGCTCCTTTTCCTTCAGGAGATGCTAGATAAGGGCAGGTCCCCATCCACTCTGAAGGTTTACGTGGCAGCCGTCGCGGCATTCGTTGAACCCCGGCGCGCCCAGTCGTTGGGCAAAGACGAGCTAATCATCCGCTTCCTCAGGGGAGCCAGAAGGATGAATCCCCCTCGCCCCCCTTCGGTTCCGGTCTGGGATCTTTCTACAGTTCTCGAAGCGTTGAAAGCCCCTCCGTTCGAGCCACACGAGTCCATGAATCTAAAATATCTCTCGTTTTTCTGATTGCACTCGCCTCAGTAAAACGCGTGGGGGGACATTCACGCACTTTCTTCGAGCGCCGCGTGTCTTGAGTTTGGACCTAATGACTCTGTTGTCATTCTCAAACCTAGACATGGTTATGTTCCAAAAGCGATTGGTACCCCTTTCAGGGCGCAAGTGATTTCTCTATCGGCTATGCCTGCATCCGATAGCGAACGTGATGCCAATCTTCTCTGCCCGGTCCGGACTCTGAGATTGTACACTACACGCGCTGCTGTGTTCAGACGCTCGGAGCAGCTGTTTCCGTCGTTCGGTGGCCCCACCAAGGGTTTGGCCGCCTCAAAACAGACACTGTCTAGATGGATAGTGGACGCGATTGCCTCTGCTTACGCCTCTAAAGACCTGCCTTGCCCGCTGGGCATCAGGGCTCATTCCACTAGAGGCATAGCCTCATCGTGGGCATGGTCCTGCGGAATTTCCATTCACGACATTTGTGTGGCCGCGGGATGGGCCTCCCCGTCCACTTTTGTCAGATTTTATAACTTGGAAGTCTCCGCCTTACAGGCGAAATTACTGGCGGTCTAGTACGATACAGCTCTTCTATAAGAAGCTGCACTATTGGGAGTTCTATCACAACCGGTTCGCCCCTTGTGCTTCCCCTATGTGCTTATCAGTGATGCGTGGGTCAATGTATAAACAACCCGCAACCGACCGACGTTTTCAACAACCCGCCCGCAACTTGGACCGCAAAAAAAGTAAAAAAAAATATTGTACCCGACCCGCTTCCTGACCGCATTTTTTAAAAGTAGTAAATGCTCATCGTAGCGTCATTGGGCCATAGACGTGTAACCACACAGCATCGCAAGAAGACGTAGGCCTACACATAACAAAGCCAGCAGTTTGGTTATCATCTTTCATTATTTCAGCAAATGTCTTCCACACTTTTACTCTTTCTATTTGTGTATTTGCGGAGCTTCCACTCCCCAGTCTTCACCTTTTCTCTTGCCGCCTCTATTTCTCTGCAGACTGTAGTGATCATAGACATGGGCGGTTCGTGAACGAATCATTCTTTTGAACCGGTTCTTTTTAGTGAACCGGTCGAACCAGTACACTAATAGAACTGAATCGTTCGAAACAGTTCGCGTTTTGCGTCAGTGCTGATGATCCACAAGTTACTAAAGTTACTCACTTTCAGACATGCCTGACAGTCCCTCTGAATCGAAATAAATCAATATCCTGAATTATATTTTACTCCAGTAACTCCAACAGTTCACTGAACCGAGACATGTTGGTGCCACTGCTGAGAAAAGTGATGAGCACGAGCAGCTGATACTGCGCATAGATACTGTGTACTACCGAATGCACAGGGACAGCGGTTCTCGAATAACCAGTACAGAACCGAGAACTGTTTTAGACTGAGCTTGTGTGTTATCTTCGTGCCAGTTATTCAGCCAATAATGTGTAGGCCTGTATATTTCATCGAAAATTGTGTCTAGTATCCAACTATATAAATACAAAGGTTTAATTGGCATCTTCTTTCAAACGACCCGACCGACCGCGACCCGAATATCATTAAAAACATTTTTGGATGACCCGCAACTGCGGGTAACCGCAGGCACCCGCTCATTTCGGATCAACCCGCGCATCACTGGTGCTTACGCATTATACGATAACGGCCCGCTATGCCGGCCGCCTTATGGGCGTATGCATTAGACTATAACGGCCGCTATGCTAGCTGCCTTATTTTCTCAGTCCACCTTTAGGATTCCCCCGGTTTTTCCCCCCTGGAATGCTTAGTGGTTACATAGCGCGCACGGCGTTGACCAGGTGTTCCCGTAGCGTAAGCTAGCTTACGCAATACGAGAGAACCTCTCGTAAGAGAACGAATCGGTTACCTAACGTAACCTCGGTTCTCTCTAGATGAGGGAACGAGTATTGCGTTCCCGGCCGTGCTTGCACCACTAGCGTTTCGCTTCACGCTGAAAGAAATCAACGTACAGCCTAGGGAGAGCCTTTTTATACACTAGAGCCACGCCCCTTTCAGCGGGCTCTGACGTAATGAGCGAGCGCCAGCCGCTCATTGGGTGCGGGTTCAGCGCCACTCTCCCACAGACTCGTGCATTTGAACGAACCAATGAGCTGCTAGTTAGCCCGCTCATGGTCTGCCTCAGAGGAACTGCGTTGACAATGATTACAAATTATGGAATAATTTTTTGGCTTCAACTTCTCAGCAAAGATGAATCTTTCCCGTAGCGTAAGCTAGCTTCCGCAATACTCGTTCCCTCATCTAGAGTGAAACCGAGGTTACGTTAGGTAACCGATTCGTTCTATAAACCTGAAAAATGTAAAAGCACTAAGCGTGATTTAAGTACAAAAGCAACATGCACAGACACAGGTGGTCAAAAGTTTGGAATAATTTAGATTAATCTCTTAGACTAGATAGTCACTTCTGCTCACCAAGGCTGCATTTATCCAGAAAGGAAATAAAGAAATTATCAAAGTAGTCCATGTGACATCAGTGGGGGTTAATTATAATGTTTTGAAGCATCGAAAATACATTTTGGTCCAAAGATAACAAAAACTATGATTTTATTAAACATTGTATTGTCTTTCAATGCTTCAAAACATTCTAACTAACCCACTGATGTCACATGAACTACTTTGATGATGTCTGTATTTCCTTTCTGGACAAGGACAGTATACCATGTAGCCTATAGACCATTTTGCAAGATGTAAACAAAACTGGTCCAGAAGCACTTCCTGTTTCAGTTTTTTAACACTACATAAAAGCTGGGATAAAATACAACCAACAGAACATATAAAACTGAATGAAAAAGTTAAACAAACATCTTTAAGATTTTTTCTTTACATATAAAATAAAGAAAACCATTACAAACTGAAACAGGAAGTGTTTCTGGACCAGTGTTTACATCTTACAAAATGGTCTATACATTTTCAAACGGAGGGACAGAAAACTCTGAGCTAAATCTAAAAGATCGTAAACTGTGCTCCGAAGATGAACGGAGGTCTTACGAGCTTGGAACAACATAAGGGTGAGTCATTAATGACATAATTTTCATTTTTGGGTGAACTAACCCTTTAATAGTTAAGTACATGTTAAACATAGTAATAATAACTAATTATCAGTCATCCAAAACATCCTAATTTGGTTGTTTATTTTGGTCACCATTCACCAATGTTCTCTGGAGACCCAAACAAATACAAATTGAAACGACATCTCAATCTCAAACATACTCCAGCGATTATTTTTCCTCAAATCATTCTCCCTAGATATTTCTCTCTGGCAATGCTTGACATCAAAATTCCGGCAGAATACTCTCATTACTCATTACTACCAGATGTTCTGCATTAGGTCTTGTCTGCACACACATAAAGGTTTCACAAAAACTCTTATGAACTTATTGACATTCTGACACATTTAATACAAGGATTCAAATCATTGTCATTAGGTTCTGAGGAACATGATAAGGACATATTTTCATTAAAACAAGAAAATATGTCCATTAAGGACATATTTTCACTGAAGTCCCTATATTTTGAATGCTTTAATAAAGGAACCCTCAATGCCATAGGCCATAAGAAACACATTAAAACAACCCCACAGTACATGTTTGCTGTTTTAAGCAGTTGTGAACTGCAAGCAGTGCTTGAAAGACATGCTGATGTCTGATAGATCATGGTATTAGTGCGCTCCCCTGTGTCAGTATTAGGAATTGCAGCTATTGCTGTAATTTAGTTTTTTTAGAACTTTAGTTATTTAGTTCTCGTCTTCTAAAGAATCAAAATGTTATTGTTAAAGTTCACTAACTTCACTGTTCACTTGATACATATTTATTATTAGGCCTAAGCTACGTTTATGTCTGAGACCACATTGAAAATCTTTTACCTAAAAATAAACAAAAATTTTAGGGTCTATGGTCTAGTTTTAGGTCAAAAGTGAAGCACAAGTTGCTCTTTGGAACCATATCAAATCGTGCTGAGCAAATGATTGTCATACCAAATACTAAACCTACTATCCAAATAGTGTAAACTCATATTTGTATTGTATTAATGAACTGAAAATCATCCCCTCAACCTGTTACACAATTTACTTTGATATAATCATTTATAAAGAAAGGAAAATTATTATTATAAGAAAAAAAATCACAATGTATGCACATGTACATTTGCGATCAAAGACTTCTGTACACTGTGTGTATGACCTGCTTATGTGTAGTACTATGTATGTCAACTAGTTTTCTAGTGAACTGCAAATGTTTCTGAAACTTTATAGGCTATGTTTCATCAGTCAATAGCTTGAGCATAAAACTTACCTTTATTCGTCTCTGAGTAAGTTCTCTGAAGGTCTTTCAAAAGCTGCTCAGCAACAGAAAGCAGAGATGAGTCCATAATGTACCTGAAAACTAAAACGTTTCATTTGTCATCATTGTATAATAACGCCTGTAAATTATTTTATTTTTTTACATTTTTTCATTGGGATCTGTAATTATTTATATTATATAACGTTAGTATACTATGTAATGACTTGTCTTTAGTATCCTTTTTCTCTTGTAAAACTTTAACGCTAATGTGGAGTTAATTAACTGTTACAGGAGTTACAGCTAACGTTACTAGAATTGATCATATTTAGTATGTCATCTCTGCTTCTCAAACCTCTCCTAACTTGGGGTCTCCACCGCAGCATATGTTGCTCTAATGAGCTGGTGAGTGGACTGTACAAAATGTGCAGTGATGGGGAAGGTTTGAGAAGCACAGGAAAATGATCTTAAATTATCTAAACTACTGCCTGAAATAAACCAACCAATAAAATCAACATCTAGACATTGTATCTTAAACAAAAACTTCGAGAAGCTCCGATGGATCTACAGAATATAGATTTAACGTGCAGCGTTTAGTTACTGATATTTACAGACAGGATATTTAACTTACTGAGTTCGCGTTTCCCGCATATGTTGGCCGCAGCACTCGTTTGACGTTCTTCTTCTTCTTCAGTAGTTTGTAAGACGTAAAACATACTGTTGGTTTTTACCGCCACCTATGGAATTTGGACAGCATGGACAATTTATTTAAACCCTTTAAAAAAGAAAATATTATTTTAATATTAATAACTACTAAAAATATAAATAATAAAACAAACCATTGAGGAGAAAAAGTTTCTCGTTCAAATTAAATTATTTAATATGATAATTTCCTCTGTAAAATGTCTCACTGAAAATGTTCTGGTGCCTGATAGCCTAAAAATGTTGCATATGCACAAAATTAAATATGTCACTCTCATTAATGGAGTTAAGCACTGAAATGTCATGAAATCATTATTATTAATAATTAAATCATATTTGGTAGGCTATTCATTTAAATAGAAAAATTTCTCAGGTTTGTGCTTTATTTCTCTGAACTATAACCAGTGGTATAGTCTAGTTTTTAAAAACTTGGGTGAAATTTCATTTAAAATTATGTTTTAATAGATTTATTATTTTAAAAAGTACATTTTACTATGCAATTTCTTTCATAATTCCCTCGAGTTACTTTATTTATCTCTATAAACTTTTATTTTGGTGGGTTGTAAATTAAAGACATTTGAGATTCTGTGTTTTAATAAACTATTATTATTATTATTATTATTATTATTATTATTAGGCATACTTGAAGTATACTCTACTGTGCAATAGTAATATATTTCTTTATATTTTCTTCAAGTTATACAAAACTTTGATTTTGACAGGTTGCATGAAGCAGTGGCATCACTGAATTTTGATCATCACTTGAGATTTTTTTCTAAAAACAAATTTTAAAAAAAGTTTAGGATCTAATGCTCACTATTAACCAGTTTCATGACATGAAAAGGTAGGGATTTATAGGCTATGTGCACAACCGTAGTTTCGAACTTCCGCTTTTGTCAGAAGTTGGCGTATCAGTTTCCGGTCTACGACTGGTCATCCGCATCCACTAATAAACAAACAAGATGAGTGCTGCTGTTGTACGAAAAAAAGAGTTCTTAAACACATCTAAGTTTCTCAGAACTGTAGTGGATCTAACCTCCGTTTCACACCAGTTTGCAGTGTGTGTTGCGGTGCAGGAGCGTGCTGTTAGTGCGTTCACATATTATGATGCGTTTGCACAGTGAATAACTGATCCGCCGCTGTACAACAAACACATACTTAATATTTTTATTTAAAGTCCAGAAGTTATGCTGCAACTTATTTTTAAAAACAAAAAGTTGTGTCAGCATTGCGATTCTTAGTATGCACGTTTAAACACAATTTAAACAATGTAAGTTACTCCATGCAAGTTCCTCAAGCAAGTGGTCAAATATTTACTATATTGAAATCGCAAATAATTTAAATTAAAACTTGAAATTGACAAAAGCAGCCGACTTGCCTTTTCGTTTGCATCTTAATTTTAAAACAATAGATCTTGCATGTCACAAAACTTATTTTTCCACCTCCACGATCGAGACGAGTTCAGTCGCCTGGTTGAAGTAAATTGTAGTTTTCCTTGATTAAATGTGCATTTCTGGTGAGATTACTACATTTTATTTAATAAAACGCAATTATGGTGAAATTACTACATTTTCAGGTCAATCATTTTGACCACCAGCGTTTGCAGCACAGCAGAAATAGATTCGGTGTGGAAACGATCGCTGTGCTGCTGTTATATGTACCACATCAGTAAAAAGTGAAAGCCCTAACCTGTTTACATGGTGAGTTAGGAGACTGCTGTGCGGCACTTGCTCTGCTTCAAGTCGCTAACAGCCATTTGAGCTACTGCTTCCTGATAAACACCAACCTTCGTGCGCAGTGGCTGCACATAATAGACATTTTGACCGACGCGCAAAAAATAATAAAAATATTAAGTATGTGTTTGTTGTACAGCGGCGTGAACGCACTAACAGCACGCTCCTGCACCGCAACACACACTGCAAACGGGTGTGAAACGGAGGTTAGATCCACTACAGTTCTGAGAAACTTTTTTTCGTACAACAGCAGCACTCATCTTGTTTGTTTATTAGTGGATGCGGATGACCAGTCGTAGACCGGAAACTGATACGCCAACTTCTGACAAAAGCGGAAGTTCGAAACTACGGTTGTGCACATAGCCCATAATCACTGTTGTCCTGAATGTGAGGTAGGTTAGGAGGGTTCAGGGTTTCCTTCAGAAAATTTTGATTTTTCTGATTTACACATGTGCATTTTAGCATGTGTTGAAGGCCAAAAAAATTAGATAGCAACTTTAAAACCATGTCAGTGGGCAGCTGATTATTTTTCTCTCCTCATCAGCATCATCCTCTTTTTCTCTTTGTTTTTTATCTTGCCCTGTATCTTCCCCTCCTAAAGCTGAGCTTTGACTGATATAGGCTTTTGATTTGTCTGTCAGTGAAGAAAGTAAACATAAGGTCAACTGATTTTGCCTATGAATAATTTTTCTCAGACGCGTTTATTCACTGAAAGCTACTAAAGCTGGGTAATTAAGTTTATTAAATGCATTCAAAACATGTAGACTACACATTCATTATTGATCTCATGCCTAAAACAGGGCCGTAGACAGGGCTTTATAATTAAAGAGGTCCTGAATTTGAGGTTGGTGCGTCAGTTTTTTTTCATTTCTCTGATATGTGCATTTCAAGACGTTTGAAGACCAAAAAAGGATAAGAAATGTATTTATTTTATTTATTTGGATCCCCATTAGCTTCCACAATGTGGTTCCTGGGGCCCATAAGAGTACTGAAACTTATGTACAATTAAAATACACAAATATAACATACATAAATATAACATTCATATAAACATTACCACATGTATACATTTATCCGCATATACACAATCATACAGCATTTGATAATATCAGTACATATAAACAGTCACAAATTAACTGATGTAATACTATTAATTGTAATCTGTTTTAGAGTCTTCTTAAAATTATATATGTTTGATATATGGCTTGTTTTTAAATCCAATTTATTCCAAGCAGATGATGCTCTAGATAAAACAGTTCTTGCCATACAATTGGACCTTGCAGATGGAACCACTAACACACCTGAGCTCACCTGACGCGTAACATGTCTGTGACAATACCCACTAAAAACCAGTTTGTCTACAAAAGGTTTTGGATTGTTTTTAAATAGAGCATTGTGCATATAACAGAGAAGACTTATATTAAGTTTCGCTCAGCAGCGTCTTTGAAATAAAGCCCGCCTACTTTGCTTTGATTTGTCATCTCAAATATTCTGACATTGACGAGCAGTGACAGACCAATGAGCTCAGATGAACACGAACACACACACACACACACACATACTGTAGCTACATACACACACCCTGTCCTCTGTTTTGACGTGCTCTCTGCTCGCGCCGCGTGCTGAATCTGACTGGGGGGCCGACCAAGATGGCGGTGTGAATGGACTGAATTTTCGAGCTCTCAGCACCAACTTTAAGGATAGACTCGAATTTTGGAAAGAGGTTTCGAGTTGAGCAAACCTGAATATCATTTTGAAGGTTTTTTTCTCTTTGTTGCTTCATTTTGTTAATGTAAAATGCCTAAATCGGCACAGAAACGCCCAAATGCTCTTAGCAAAGCAGCAAACATTGACGACGTTGAAGTTATCACTGATCACGATTACAAAGATGGAATGATTCACGACCTGAACAACAAAGACGAATTTCCTCCACTTGCCATAACACCCAGTAAACCTCCATTAGCCAAAAAAACGACGCTCTCACAAACCAGTGCGGACTTGAAGTCTGACGAAATCGTTGCTAAACTGGCTAATCTCATTAACACCAGAAGCGATGCTCTAGAAGAGATGGTCAAAGCTACACGCACAGAAATCAAGGATTTAAAAGAAAAGATGTGCAGTATTGAAAGACGTGTGGAGAAGAGCAAACAATCTACCCTGACTTGCATGAATCGTGTGACTGATCTGGAGCGATACGGCAGAAGATGGAACATAAAACTACACGGCATCCCAGAGGCAGTGAAGGAAAATATTCGTGAGGAAGTGATTCGCATCTGCCAAGAAGTGTTTCCTCAAGATAGGGATCAGCTGCCAGCGGCGATAGATATCGCGCACCGTGTGGGTTCCAAGCGTCCGAACGAATCGAGACCGCGAGCTGTCATCATTCGCTTCGTTGTGAGGAGATATAGGGAGGCAGTGTGGAAAGCTGCAAAAAACAATCCATTCCTTCAGAATCATGGCTTGCACTTCACTGAAGACTTAACGAAGGAAGATAGGGAATCAAGGCAGAAACTGTGGCCATTGATTAAAAAGGCAAGAGAGGATGGCGGCATACTTCGTTGGAGGTCGAGGCTTTGTTGATGGCGTGGAAATAACATGAGTAATAGACAAACGTTATACTACAATCCATCCGAGACGCAAGGTTTGTGCTGAGGTTCAAGATAAGTGGCGAGCAAAAAAACCCCCAAAACTTTCATGTGTTGTTGATTGGGCTATCTGTTATGCTTTAAATTCGAAAGTGAAGAAAGTTCCTAATGGAAGTATCCCAATTTACCTGTTTTAATGGGTGCTGATCTTGATTTTCGTTACCTTATATTTTTCTAAAGTTTTCATTCACTATATTTTGTACGTTCAACTTGTTCTGTTAAGTCTGTTGGATTTATCTCTTATATCTTTTAACGCTAGGGGGTTGCGTAACAATATTAAAAGAAAAGCATTATTTTTGTTTGCTAGGCAATACAGAGCTGATTTCTGTTATATACAAGAAGCTCATTCGGTTAATGATGATGTCAAATTTTGGAGTGGTCAATGGGGGTCTTCAATATGGTTTTCCCATGGTTCTGAACATTCAGCAGGGGTAATAACACTTAAGAATAGATTTAATGGTGAAGTTGTGCAGTCATTATGTGATTCAGAAGGTCACTTTGTTTGTTTGCTACTTAATTGTAATGAAATATATATTATTACAGGTAATATCTATGGGTACAATAGGAAGTCAGAAAATGACAATCTTTTAGGGGTTTTAGAGAATACATTAAAAAGTTCTAAATCTACAAACACTAATCTTAAAAACTGCATGGATGCATTTAATCTGATAGATGTTTGGAGGTTTAAATGTCCTAATAATATAGTCTTTACATGGAGTAACAAATCAGGTTCAAATTGTCACAGATCCATCGGTGTCAGCACCAGATACCGTCACCCCGCCTACTCGTTCCGGTTCCCCTGACTACTAATCATCATCACCTGCCCTCACCACCTGCCATCACTTATCCGGACTATCATTCACTCCATATATACTCACCTCATTCAGTCACTCACTGTCTGATCTCGTCTTTGCCATGACTACAGACCTACAGACTCCCTATCGCTACTTCACGTTCCTGTTGTTACTCACCTGCTTGATACTCCAGCCCGTCAGCCTTCCGTCTGTTCCAGTCCTTGGTCCCCGTCTGTCTCCAGCCCGTTCCTGCCTTCAGCCCCGATTCCGTCTCCACTGCTCCCATCTGCTCACCTGCATCCCGCTCCTTATCAGATAAGAGAACCTTCATCAGACTGTTTATATCCATCTGCAACTTCAACTACCACGCTACTTGCCATTATTCTCCTAATTCAATAAACTCTGTTCATACTCACCAGCCTGTGTCCTTCTGTTCTGTGACAGAAGACCAGACCAACAAAATGCTACAACCTCCGCCCACTACCACCTCGACGACGAGTCCCCTACCGACATCACCCATTCCCCGGACCAGTGCATCTGCGCTCGCTACTTCCACCGTAGCCTTTTCTTCTGCCTCTGCCTCTGTATGTCCCATGGCCCAACCAGCGCCCTTCTCTGGCGAGGAGGAGGAGTGCAGTGGCTTTCTTCTGCAGTGCGAGCTCTACATGGAGATGATTCCATCCTTGTTCCCCACTGAACAATCAAAAGTGGCTGTGGTGAGCAGGACGGCCGAGGGACGTGAGAGAAAGTCGCGAGGCCGGTGGTGCAATTGCTAATGAGCAGCACCTGTGAAGCACACCGGTCTCGCATCTCTCACGAAGGAGCGGAGCCATAAAGGGGGAGCGACGGAGTGGATGAGCGAGAGAGGAACAGGCCTGCTTTTATTTGTATTTTATTTGGTAAGCCAGCAGTCGTCCGTGAGGGGCTGCTGGCCGGTATTTATGTTTTATTTTGGGTAGCCAGCAGTCGTCCGCGAGGGGCTGCTGGCAGGTAATTTGTTTGTTTATTTTATTTAAATAAAGTTTTATTTTATTATTATTATCCGGTTCCTGCCTCCTTCTTCCCTGAACTTTGTTACACTGGTGCCGAGGAACGCGCTGTCCGAGGATCCTCTCCGCTGTCGGGAATCCGCGGTGCCATCGAGCATGGTGCGCGAGTCGCCGCCGCTTGCCGTGGGCCGGAGCCTGCTGCCGTCCGCCGCAGAAGGGGAGGAGCAGGGAGCGGGGGACTCGCGGCCATGGACGCTCGAGGCGGGGCGCTGGGATGAGTTGCGGGTGGGACGCCCGAGCTCGCCGCCGACCGCCTGGAAAATGGAGGGGCGGCTGCCGTTCGGGAGGGAGAGGAGGAGTCACCGTCGCTTGCCGTGGGCCGGAGCCTGCTGCCATCCACCAGTGAAGGGAAGGAGCAGGGAGCGGGGGACTCCTGCCGCCTGCCCAAGGCACCCGAGGAGCCGTCGCCGTCCAACGGGGGCGGGGGAGCGTCGAGGCGTTCACCGAGGGCCATCCAGCGTCGCCGCCGGGCACCGCGGAGGAGATCGCCCAGCTTGTGAGGGACAAGATGGCAGCGCGTTGTGGGAGCCGGACCAATTTTTTTTTTTTTTTTTTTTTCCTCTCTCCCCTCTCTCGTGTCCGTCGCTCCTCGTGCTTCCGTCTCTGTCTCCCTCGGCTCGTCGATCCATACCCCCTAGGGATCACCGCCGCCGGGGGGGGAGTAGGCACAGTCTCGGGTGTACCCCCCGGCCTGTGAGGGGTAATGGGGGTATGTGGTGAGCAGGACGGCCAAGGGACGTGAGAGAAAGTCGCGAGGCCTGTGGTGCGATTGCTAATGAGCAGCACCTGTGAAGCACACCGGTCTCGCATCTCTCACGAAGGAGCGGAGCCATAAAGGGGGAGCGACGGAGTGGATGATCGAGAGAGGAACAGGCCTGCTTTTGTTTGTATTTTATATTTTATTTGGTAAGCCAGCAGTCGTCCGTGAGGGGCTGCTGGACGGTATTTATGTTTTATTTTGGGTAGCCAGCAGTCGTCCGCGAGGGGCTGCTGGCAGGTAATTTGTTTGTTTATTTTATTTAAATAAAGGTTTATTTTATTATTATGATCCGGTTCCTGCCTCCTTCTTCCCTGAACTTTGTTACAGTGGCCTTCTTCATTTCCCTTCTCCGTGGTCGGGCTCTACAGTGGGCTCATGCCCTGTGGAAGGATCGAGGGCCCGTAACCCGGACATTCGCCACTTTCTCCAGTCATTTCCTCGAAGTGTTTTCCCAGTCTGTTTATTCTATCTCGGTTCAAGATCAGCTGTTCCGTTTGAAACAAGGAAGATCGTCAGTAGCTTCATATGCTCTGCAGTTTCGGACTCTCGCCGCCACGCTGGGATGGAATGAATCAGCCCTCGTTACCGTATACCGTCATGGTCTGAATCCCGACATTCGCCTTCAGTCGGCCATCTACGACGACTCAGTGGGTATCGAGAACATCATCCAGCGATCAATCCGCATCGATCAACGCCGCACTGCCTGTCAGCTGGATAGCCCTGCACCTCCGCCTCCTCGTCCATCAGCCACTCACAGCCCTCCAGCATCAGAGCCGATGGAGATTGGGTCAGCCCGCCTTCCCATCTCCGAACGAAATCGCAGCATCACCAACGGCTTATGTTTGTATTGTGGAGCTGCGGGGCACATGCTATCCACCTGTCCCATCCGTCCACCACGACCTGCTGTGAGTACAGTTCAACTACCCCTACCCATTTCTAATCTGAAGTATACATCTGCTACTATCACTTATATGAACCGTTCCCTTCCAGTTCAAGTGCTAATCGATTCAGGATCCGCCGGTAACTTCATCTCACTCTCCACACTTCATCGGCTCCAAACCAGGCAACGTACCATCCCTCACACCCTTCAAGTCCAGTCCATCGTGGGAAAACCCCTTGGCCGTGGTCGGATCGGACACCGCAGCCCAGATCTAGGGTTGGAGATCGGCTGGCTTCACAAGGAGGCAATTTCCTTTCTGGTGCTGGGGGATTCGACTGCCGAGATCATCCTGGGACGCCCTTGGTTAGAACTCCACTCACCGCATATCCAATGATCCTCTAGGGAGATCTTACAGTGGGGTGAAGAATGCCATCATCGTTGCCTGCCTACCATTCCCAAACCATCTAGCCGCCCTTTCGCTTCGACTAAGAAAATCCCTCTGTCCGCCACCTCCGTGGAGAGTCCCCCCACCGAGTTTCTACCTGAAATCCCCCTTCCTTACCGGGCACTCCAGGATGTCTTTGATAAACAGCTGGCAACCACCTTACCACCACACCGGCCATGGGACTGTGCGATCGACCTGCTGCCTGGGGCAGTGCTACCGCGAGGTAAGATCTATCCTCTGTCCATCCCTGAACAGAAGGCCATGGAGGAGTACTGTGCGATCGACCCATCCATCAAGACACCATTCAGTTCCTGGGATATCTCATCACTCCCCGTGGCATAACCATGGACCAGAGGAAGGTGGACGCCGTTAACAACTGGCCACAACCCACCTCCCGGAAGGACCTCCAACGGTTCCTTGGGTTTGCTAATTTCTACCGTCGTTTCATCCAAAACTTCAGTCAGACCTGTTCTCCTCTCACAAACCTCCTCAAGGGCGGGGCCAAGTCTCTGTCCTTGAACACCAACGCCACACGAGCGTTTGAAAGCTTGAAACGGGCCTTCAGTTCCGCTCCTACCCTCTCCCTTCCCGATCCAGCTCTGCCATTCGTCGTTGAAGTGGATGCCTCTACCTCCGGGGTAGGAGTGGTTCTTTCCCAGCGACAGGGGACTCCATTGCAACTCCATCCATGTGCCTTCTACTCCAAAAAACTGTCCCCGGCGGAGCAGAATTATGACATCGGCAATCGAGAGCTGCTCGCGATCAAACTGGCATTAGAAGAATGGAGGCACTGGCTGGAGGGAGCTCAACACCCTTTCACCGTCATCACCGATCACCGGAACCTTGAATATCTCCGTGAGGCTAGAAGACTCAACCCCCGTCAAGCCCGCTGGTCCCTCTTCTTCACCCGCTTCAACTTCTCCGTCACCTACCGTCCAGGACACAAGAATGTAAAAGCAGACGCTCTATCACGACAGTTCCAGCCCAGTTATCCTCCTCTCAGTCCCGAGACCATCCTCCCTCCAGCCGTAGTCGTAAGCCCCATTCAATGGAGTATGGACGACCACATCGCCGAAGCCACACAAACCGAACCTGCTCCGCCGGGAGGTCCAGGGGGATGGGTCTATGTCCCGACCCGCCTGCGCCTGTCCCTCATGGACATGGCGTACACACCTCCCTGGGCTCTGGACACCCAGGCAGCCAATAAACTCTCTCGCTCGTCCAACAACGTTATTGGTGGCCGGGTATGGCCCAGGATGTCTCCCGATACGTCAAGGGATGCTCAGTCTGTGCCATGGCCAAGGTTCCTCGTCAATCTCCCCGAAGGCAAACTTATCCCTCTACCCATCGTCACCGATCTTCCCAGTTCCAATACTCACACCTGTATTCTTGTTGTAGTCGACCGCTTCTCCAAGGCATGTAAGCTGATTCCTCTCCCCGGGTTACCCACAGCCTTTGAGACCGCCGAAGCCTTATTCCACCACGTCTTCTGGAATTTTGGAATCCTGGGGATGTTGTGTGATTTATCTCCCGAGTGTGGAAGGCCTTCTTTAATCTCCTGGGCGTCACCGTCAGTCTAACATCGGGGTACCACCCCCAGTCCAACGGCCAGACTGAGCGGAAGATCCAGGAAATCGGGAGATATCTACGGTCATACTGCCACGACCACCAGGACTGCTGGAGTCGCTATCTGCCGTGGGCCGAGCAGGGGCGTAGCACCAAATTCTGGGCCCTGTACACTCTCAATGTCAATGGGCCCCCTACACATGGCATTGTACGATGCAGGTTAGCAAAGTGAAAATTCAATTTTGAATGAAATGTATTTTTTTAATTATTTGAATATAAAAAAATATAAACAGTGTTTAAATAATAAAATCAGATTATAGTAATGACTGGTTCTTTCATTCACCACCTGAATTGATGCATTTGGCCTAGTTGTGCTCAAATACCTTTAAACCTTAGGCTACATCGGTTTTGTGTACTAACATTTTGATCCATGATACTGATGCAAGTTTTAAATGAAAAACATTTATTTTTAAATAGGAGAACACAAGAACACGAGAGACAACTGTACCCTCAGAAACCAGGTTAAACTGATGCTACCAACTTTCTCAGTTGGTCGCATCAGCATTTGATTTTGTTGCGGTTATTTTTTATTTTTTTTGCTACATGCCATGGGATTAATCAATGCATGCCGATGAATAGTGGTTTTAATGGACCAAAGCCAGCAAAGGCTTACCATAAATACCTGTAATATATTAATTATCATTGCCAAATTTCAGGATTTTCATGGATTTTGGACAGTAATTTTCATCTGTAATTTTAAGAATTTTACATTTGAATTACATTCAATCTATCTATTTACATTTGAATAATAATCTTCTTTGTCTGTCATTTTTCTATTAGCATCATATTTCTATCTTTTAAAAATCATTAAACATTCAAATGTACATTACATTTTAAAAGATTAGAGTATTACAACAAGATAAAACAGATTTTTCGTTATCAAATTTTATAAGTTAGTTCAAAAATCAGAAATCTCACACTCCTTACCTCCTGCATTTTGTAATAATTTGTTTCCTGAGACATTTTAATTTTTATATTTTTATTCATGAATTCGTAATTGGCGTGTTCCACCATCAGTGTGCAATGCGCGCGTGACGTCTATGTGTCTTGCGGAAGAACACTGTTGCCGGAGCTACTTCTCTCCATAATGTCTATGGCGAGTCACGCAGTCACTGGGCAACTTCGCATCCGAGTCAACCCCGGGAATCCGGGATAAAAAAATAGTCCGAATATAAACACTTATAACAGGCTTAGTGATTCAGGATAAGTCAAAAATACGGTTTGGAAAATGGATTCATGATGTAGCCTACTCGTTCGTTTTGAACATAAGTTACGGACTGCAGTCTGCAGCAGCTGATACAACGGTCGGTGTTCTTTTGCGCGAGCGTCCACTCGTATATATGCGACGCGACCACATCACATACAATTTTAACTCGCACAATCAAATTCTCAAAAAAATGGTCGCATATGAGACCAATTTGGTCGCAGTCTGGAACCCTGCATTAGCAGCAGCTGTCTGGAGTTGACTAAGTTACGTTAACTTTAATTGGATGTAACGTTAGGTGAATATAGCAAACTCAGTTCACCTTTTGGGAAGAAAGCAGTCATCAGCTGCTTCCCCGCATTCTGCCTCCCATCTTTTTCTTTCCTCTCTTTCTTTTTTTTAAAGCCCGATTTGGGCTTTTTGCACAGCATGATCAGATCAGGCTCCCGTTACAGGCTCTAGACTCACTGCGTTATTACTTGTTTGCCGCCCGCTGCGTCTATGGGCGGTCGACGCGTTGCGGACTAAACCATTTGGAAGGGGGTCCAGAGTGTCTGGCACTGAGTTCATTTTGGTCAATATTTTTTTTTTAATTATTATTAATGACATCAATTGGAGGGCCCAATTAATTCTAATTAGGTTTAAAAAAAATTTTTTTAAAAATTGGTGGGATTTCAAAGGGCCCTCTCCCTAGACGGGGCCCTGGGTAGTCAGGTCCACTTTTCCCCCCACTACCACGCCCCTGGGGCCGAGTATGCACAAAATTCTCTCCGTCAATCCACCACAGGACTCATCCCCTTCCAGTGAATACTCGGCTACCAACCTCCTCTGTTTCCCTGGTCCGGAGAACCATCCGACGTTCCAGCAGTCCATCACTGGTTCCAGACGAGCGAGAGGGTCTAGGACTCAGCCCATACTCACCTCCAGCGGGCTGTTCAGAGACACAAGACAGTCCCTCCAGGATTTCGCGGGCCTTTTTTGTGATTGTTGCGGCCTAAAATGCCTGATGTTGCGGCCGCTTTTTTAAAAAGTTGCGATAAAAGTTGCGATGTTCTTCTGCATGTTTTTATAGGTTAAAACGGCAAAGATAGATAGATTTTTACTTAAAATGCCCATATTATGATTTTTGGCTTTTCCCCTTTCCTTTATTGTGTTGTTATATTTTTTTGTGCATGTTATAGGTTTACTAAGAGAGAAAAGTCCAAAGTCCACCCCAAAGGGACTGTCCCACAGAAAACACTGTTCATCATCTGCATCAGCTCTATTGTAGTCCAGAATTGACTTAAGAGACAAAGTCACACTCTTTGTAACACACGAACAAACTAACTAACCATTAGTAAACATAAAAGGCAAAACAAACGATTTAAAGACACAGCAAAACCTAAGCTTCTTCTTTTTTTTTTTAAACAAGATCTGCACCTGCAAAAAAGTCAATGTGCAGAACCTCACAAACATTAAGCAGCATTTATGTTGAAAGATGCCAATACTAATAAAGTGCAAAATACAGCCACTAAAGTTAAATGGTGGAAAAACCAAATGTTTGATAATGTATTTTAATATAGCTAATATAATATAATATAGCCGCATATCCAATAAAGCTGTTCTCATTTGCTTTTTTTTTTTGTCAGATAATAGAACGAGTCGGCTAGCTATTTTTTATGTGTAAAATTTTCTGAATTGAGAGAGTTCGGGAACTGGGTGAACTAATGCACTGTGATAGTGAGTAGCCTATTACAAGTGATAAACGCAAGAAAAGAAAGGAAAATAAAATGGTCAAACTCAATTCGTTAAATATAAAACAAAAGAGAAGCAGATAAGTGATAAGTCCGTGGAAACAACACTGCTCATTCGCGTCTGTCAGCTGCCGTGCTGCTCCTCTACTGCAGCCGTTCACTGAACAGGGACGCAGAGAGAGGTGTGACGGCAGGGAGAAAGCAAACCTCGCGCTCGCAGGATTGTGCTGGCAACATTTGGTTACTGAGGTTTGTCCAAAAAGCCGCTAGATTTTTCTCTAGTCGCTTTTTTATATCACTAAATATAGCGACAAAGACTAAGTTGGCAACATTGGCCTTTTCTTTTATTTTTGTAGGTAGCCTAAATGTGAGACGTTGGCAGTCCACATCTGCTGCGTCTTCTGAACAAAACAAGTGAGTTTGCTGACGTATGACGACGCTTTGCAGGAGACCGCGGCGCGATGATTCGTCAAAGTTGCAGAAAAGTTGCGGTGATTTTTCAAAATTGCAAGGCGCACTGAATTCACGTGGATTTGTTGAAGTTGCGTTAATAGTTGCGATCGCGACATCGCGAAATCCTGGAGGGACTGACAAGAGCGAGGCCGACACTCGACGTACCTCTAATCCCCAATACCATCCTGGACAATCGGTCTGGCTCTCCACCCGGGACATCCGTCTCCGACAGCCCTGTCGTAAGCTGAGTCCCAGATACATAGGTCCGTTCGCCATACAGAGGCAGATCAACCCCGTCACCTATCAACTATCACTTCCCGCTCATTACCGCATTGCACCTACCTTCCATGTTTCCCTTCTCAAGCCATATACTAATCCTCTCACTCCTTCCTCCCCAGGGTCTGGTGCTGCGGACGTGCCCCCTCCTTCTACGGATCCGGAGGATGACAACATTTACCGAGTGCACGAAATCCTCGATTCCCGGCAACGGGGCGGCCTTTTGGAATACCTTGTGGACTGGGAAGGATTTTGTGTGGAGGAGAGGTGCTGGGTCCATCGGGAGGACATTCTGGATCCCACCCTACTCCAGGACTTTCATTCAGCCCATCCAGATCGCCCAGCACCCAGGGGCCGTGGCCGTCCCCGTCGTCGGTCCCGCCCGCCAGCTGGAGCTGGCCGTGGGGGGGTTACTGTCACGGATCCATCGGCGTCAGCACCAGATACCGTCACCCCGCCTACTCGTTCCGGTTCTCCTGACTACTAATCATCATCACCTGCCCTCACCACCTGCCATCACTTATCCGGACTATCATTCACTCCATACTCACCTCATTCAGTCACTCACTGTCTGGTCTCGTCTTTGCCACGACTACAGACTCCCTATCGCTACTTCACGTTCCTGTTGTTACTCACCTGCTTGATACTCCAGCCCGTCAGCCTTCCGTCTGTTCCAGTCCTTGGTCCCCGTCTGTCTCCAGCCTGCTCCTGCCTTCAGCCCCAATTCCGCCTCCACTGCTCCCATCTGCTCAACTGCATCCTGCTCCTTATCAGATAAGAGAACCTTCATCAGACTGTTTATATCCATCTGCAACTTCAACTACCACGCTACTTACCATTATTCTCCTTATTCAATAAACTCTGTTCATACTCACCAGCCTGTGTCCTTCTGTTCTGTGACACAAATCAGTCCAGAATAGACTATTGGTTAGTTTCTGAAAGTCTTGACAAAGATGGGATCGATGTAGATATTTTACCTACTCCATTAACAGATCACAGAGCTATTTATATAAAAGTGAAGCTGTCTCATAAAATATATAATTTTAATTCTTCATATTGGAAACTTAATAATTCCCTTCTGCTGCATAAGGAGGTCCAAAAGAAAGTTAAAGATTTAATTTCTAGTCATTGAACAAAAGCCAAGATGGAAAATGCCTTCAGTACAAATTGGGAACTTTTAAAAATGTATAATTGGCAAATATATAAGAAAATATGGTTCTTTTGTGGCCAAAAGTAAAAGATCTGAAGAAACTAAAATAATAACGAGAATAACAAATTTGTCTCAGAAACATCCAGATTCTCTTCTAGAGGATGAAAAATTAGAAATGGCTCTGACTTAACAAGTAAATTAGATGATGTGTATAAGAAAAAAGTAGAGGGTGCCTTTATTCGTTCTAAAAGAAAGTGGCTTGAGGAAGGGGAACAAAACTCACATTATTTTTTTAGTTTAGAAAGGCGGAATTTTGTTAGTAACACTATTAATAAGTTAAACATTGATGGGGTTACAACGGATGATCATACAGTAATTTCTCAGTACTGTAGTGAATTTTTTAACAATTTATATACCTCTAGTTACTGTCAGGTGACCGCTGAAGCCTTCTTAAATTCATTGCAAATTAAACCCATTGAGAAACATGAAAGGGAATCTTGTGATAAACCTATTACAATATCTGAATTGTTGGAAGCAATTAGTCATCTGAAAAATTCCAAATCACCAGGTACTGATGGTTTGACTTCTGAATTATATAAATTATTCTCCAAAGAATTGGCTCCTTTTCTTGTAGAAGTATTTGCTGAAAGCATTGAGAGACAGTTTCTTCCACCAACTCTAACACAAGGTTTAATTACACTGCTCCTTAAACCAAAAAAAGACAAGCTATATATTGATAATTGGCGCCAGATTTGTTTATTAAACAATGATTATAAATTGCTAGCCCTAATTTTAGCTAGAAGTGTCACAGTCTGTCGTCCTCACCAGTGTGTCCCGTCATCTGCACCACACTTCCCCAGATCCTTTTGTTTCTACTCCCGGACTCACTCCCCAATCAGCCACCTGTTCCTTGTCCTGTCATTATCATTTCCACCTGTGTTCACCTCATTTAGTCCTGATTCCCCTGTGTATTTAGTTCTCCCTCCTTCAGTCGGTGTTTGTCGGTCAATGGTTGATGTTAATTGGTGTACCCCGTCTTCCTGCCTGTATTTATTAAATAAATGTACATTCCTTGTGCATCTGGAGTTCAGCCTGTTCGTCTGCCTGCACCCACACCGTGACAGATTGACCGACCCAAAAGCAACATGGACGCCGTGATGTTCCGGGGGATCCTCTACCCGGTCCTGCGACCGCGGTTACGTCTCGTTCCCCGGAAACCTGCGTTCACCGTCAGCCCTGTCGAGTCTGCGCTCACCGTCAGCCCTGCCGAGCCCGCGCTCACCGTCAGCCCTGTCGAGTCTGCGCTCACCGTCAGCCCTGCCGAGCCCGCGCTCACCGTCAGCCCTGTCGAGTCTGCGCTCACCGTCAGCCCTGCCGAGTCTGCGCTCACCGTCAGCCCTGTCGAGTCTGCGCTCACCGTCAGCCCTGCCGAGCCCGCGCTCACCGTCAGTCCTCTTGAGCCAGGATGCTCTTCACTGCTGGTTCCGTCCAGCGCTCCAGAGACTGTATGCTCTTCACTGCTGGTTCCGTCCAGCCCTCCAGAGTCTGTATGCTCTTCACTGCTGGTTCCGTCCAGCCCTCCAGAGACTGTATGCTCTTCACTGCTGGTTCCGTCCAGCCCTCCAGAGACTGTATGCTCTTCACTGCTGGTTCCGTCCAGCCCTCCAGAGACTGTATGCTCTTCACTGCTGGTTCCGTCCAGCTCTCCAGAGACCGTCCAGCCAGCGCCAGAGACCGTCCAGCCAGCGCCAGAGACCGTCCAGCCAGCGCCAGAGACCATCCAGCCAGCGCCAGAGACCGTCCAGCCAGCGCCAGAGACCGTCCAGCCAGCGCCAGAGATCGCCCAGCCTGCCCCAGAGACCAGGATCCCACCCAGCCTCCCTCTCCCACCTCCTCCCGTCATGCATCCGTCAGCCCCTCCGTCTGCCAGATCCCCTGACCCAGCTGGGTCGTTGGATCCCCGGTTTTCACCTCGCACCGCCTCCACATGGACACTTCCTCGGCCCTCTGTCCCATCAGCTCCCCCGTGGCTCCTACCTCCCTCAGCTCCTCCATGGCCCCTCAGTCCACCAGCTCGGCCAGGCTCCCTCGACCCTCCGGACTCCCTTCGCTCCCTCGTCATCCTCCCTTCACCTCTGGACTTCCTTCCCTGTGCTCCGCACCGTCATGTCACCCCCCCGGTTCAGTTGGATTCCTCACTCCCTCCAGTCACCCGTCAGCCCTCACTCCCGCTGTCCTCACCGTGTCCCTCGGTACCCCTCTCGTCACTTCAGTCACCAGAGCCTGCGGTGTCCCCATGGTCCCTCGGTCCCTCATCAGCACCACATGTCGTCAGTCACTCAGCTTCACCTTGGTCTCCTCTCCCATCTGCTCCGCCCCTGTCAGTCGGCCCCCTGGTGTCGTCAGCCCCTTTTCCATCGGCTCCACCAGGGGTCCTCCCTCCATCGGCTCCGCCCTGGTCTCGCCCTCAGCCTGCTCCGCCCTGGCCTCACCCTCAGCCTGCTACGCCCTGGGGACGCCCTCAGCCTGCTCCGCCCTGGCCACGCCCTCAGCCTGCTCCGCCCTGGCCACGCCCTCAGCCTGCTCCGCCCTGGGGGGCTTCTCCTGACCACGCCCTCCACAGCCTCCAGGGCGCCCACCCCCCCTCCCTATTGATGTTACGGCGTGAGGCCACGCCTTCCGGGAGGGGGGAGTAATGTCACAGTCTGTCGTCCTCACCAGTGTGTCCCGTCATCTGCACCACACTTCCCCGGATCCTTTTGTTTCTATTCCCGGACTCACTCCCCAATCAGCCACCTGTTCCTCGTCCTGTCATTATCATTTCCACCTGTGTTCACCTCATTTAGTCCTGATTCCCCTGTGTATTTAGTTCTCCCTCCTTCAGTCGGTGTTTGTCGGTCAATGTTTGATGTTACTTGGTGTACCCCGTCTTCCTGCCTGTATATATTAAATAAATGTACATTCCTTGTGCATCTGGAGTTCAGCCTGTTCGTCTGCCTGCACCCACACCGTGACAAGAAGATTAAAAAAAGTTTTGGATTCCGTAAATGATTAATCACAATCGGGATTCATGAAAAATCGACATATAACGAATAATGTAAGATTAGTGTTGGATATCCTGGACTATCCAGAACTGATTAAGGATAATGGGTTTATATTCTTAGACTTTTATAAAGCATTCGACTCGGTAGAGCATCAGTTCATCTTTGACACGCTTAAGAAATTTGATTTTGGTACTTTTTTTTCTACAGCAATTAAAACCCTTTATAACAAAGGGAACTGTTCTATCAAATTATTAAATGGTACTTCCCCCAGATTCGATATTACTAGAGGAATTAGGCAAGGGTGCCCTGTCTCTCCATACCCCTTTCTATTAGTGAGTCAACTTCTTTCTTCTCACATTAAATCAAGTCCAATGAAAGGTATCACTGTATTTGATAGAGAGATCAAAATAACCCAATTGGCACATGACAAAACGCTCTTCATTCAAAACAAAGACCAGATCGTAGTGGCTACTGAATTAATATGTTAATTTTCAAGGGCATCTGGTGTCTACTTGAACGTGGCTAAATGTGAGCTTATGGCCATTAAGGAATGTTCTGAAGCATCTTATAATGGTATTCCCTTAAAATCT